ATGACTGGTCACAAGCAACAAACCCAGACATCAAGGCATTAATAGAGAGAATTAAAAAAATTGAGGAGAGACAAGAGGAAAATAGGAAAGAGCTGATGACAGAAATAATAGCAGTAAAAAAATTCTGTGATGGTAATAAATAACTAATAAGCAGGGAAAGCAGAATTAGTCAAGCAGAAGAAAGAATCTCAGAACTTGAAGACCAAAACACAGAACTATCCCAAACTGTCAAAAACATAGAAAAGAAGCTTAAAAAGTCAGAACAAGACCTTCACGAGATGAATGATTACTTCAAGAGACCCAATCTAAGAGTAATTGGCCTTCCTGAGGCAGAGAGAGAGTCAGAGGTCACACTGGAACAGACATTTCATGAAATCATCCAAGAAAACTTCTCTCATTTCATCAGTGATGCAAAAATTCAGGCACAGGAGATTCAGAGAACCCCTGCAAGACAATAAATGAGAAGACCAACTCCCAGACACGTAATAATTTGCCTAAACAAAGTAGGTAGAAAAGAAAAAATCCTAAAGGCAGCAAGAGAAAAAGACCAGACTACCTACCAGGGAAGACCAATTAGAATATCAGCAGATTTATCTACAGAAACCCTTCAGGCTAGAAGAGACTGGAGCCCTATTTTCAAAGTACTAAAAGATAAACAATTTCAATCAAGAATAATCTACCCAGCCAAGCTAAACTTCATTAGTGAGGGAGAATTGAAATCTTTTCCAGATATCCAATCCCTAAGAACCTACACTGGCACCAGACCACCTCTACAAGAAACACTTAAGAAAGTACTGAACACAAAAGAAAAGGAAAAAAGAACAACAGCATTCTTCACAAGAGTACAGGCAAAAGATTAAAAAACACATGAACCAACTCTAAAACCAAAAGAAAGACAACAAACAAACAGGAACAACAACTCCATAGGAACCGTATGACAGGATCAACTCTTGCATTTCCATAATTAGCCTAAGTGAATGGACTAAATGCACCACTGAAAAGACATAGAATGGCAAAATGGATAAAATATCACCAGGCAACAATCTTTTCCCTTCAAGAGACTCACCTCACTAGAAAGGACACTCACAGACTCAAAGTAAGAGGATTGGAAACAAACTTTCAGGCAAATGGAGCACAAAAGAAAGGAGGAATGGCGATCTTAATTTCAGACAAAATACCCTTCAAGCTATGAAAAATTGAAAAAGATACAGAAGGCCACTACATAATGATAAAAGGTTCAATTCATCAACAATAAATATCCATCTTAAACATATATGCACCCACCATAGGAGCACCAACTTGCATAAAGCAGCTTCTGGTAAACTAAAAAAAGATATTCACTCCAACACCACCATAGCTGGGGACTTCAACACCCCACTCACAACCCTAGACAGATCATCAAGACAAAAAATCAGCAATGAAATCTGAAACCTCAATGTGACTCTTGACCAAATGATACCTACAGAACACTCCATCCAAAGACCACAGAATATACATTCTACTCATCACTGCATGGAATGTACTCTAAGATCGACCACATACTTGACCATGAATCAAGTATAAGCAAATTTAAAAGAACCGAAATTTTACAATGTACCTTCTCGGACCACAGTGGAATAAAAATAAACATCAAGAACAACAAGGTCCCCCTAAAACCCACAAAGACATGGACACTAAACAGCATGATGTAAACAACTCCTGAGTCAATGATGAAATCAAGACAAAGATTAAAAAGTACCTGGGAACAAATGAAAATGAAGAAACATCTTACCAAAATCTCTGGGACACCATGAAAGCTGCAGTAAGAGGGGAATTTATATCCCTACAAATGTACATGAAGAAAATGGAAGAATCACAAATTAATAGCCTAACAAGTCACCTAAGGAAGCTGGAAAAGCAAGACCACCAAAATCCGTATTTCAGCAGAAGAATCCAGATAACCAAAATAAAAGCCCAAATCCAGGACATAGAAGACAAAAAGATAACACAAAAATCAATGAAACAAAAAGCTGGTTCTTTGAAAGGATAAACAAGATCGAGGGTCCCCTAGCTTGACTGACCAAGAAAAAGAGGAAAAGCCCAAATAAACACAATCAGCAACACAAAAGATGAAGTCACATCTGACTCTGAAGAAATACAAAAGATCATTAGAGACTACTACGTACACTTGTATGGAAACAAACTTGAAAACCTTAAGGAAATGGAGGACTTTCTGACATCACACAACCTGCCTAGGTTGAAACAAGAAGAAATGGAGACCCTAATTAGACCAATAACAATCAAGGAAATTGACCACGTAATAAGAAAACTGCCTACAAAAAAAAAAAGCCCTGGTCCAGATGGATTTCCAGCAGAATTCTACTAGACATTTAAGGAGGAGCTGATACCAATCCTACTGAACATATTCCACACAATTGAGGAAGATGGAACTCTCCCCAAATCATTTTACGAAGCTAACATCACATTGATATCCAAGCCAGGGAAAGACCCAACAAAGAAAGAGAACTACAGGCCAATATCTTTGATGAACATCCTAGCAAACCGGATTCAACAACACATCTTAAAAATCATCCATCATGACCAAGTAGACTTCATCCCTGGGATACAAGGCTGGTTCAACATTTGTAAAACCATAAATGTAATTAAATACATCAACAGATGTCAAAACAAAAACCACATGATTATATCATTAGATGCAGAAAAAGCTTTTGATAAAATCCAGCACCACTTCTTGATAAAAACCCTCGAACATCTAGGCATACAGGGAACATACCTCAATATAACAAAAGCCATCTATGAGAAACCCACAGCCAGTATACTCCAAAATGGACAAAAACTGGAAACATTTCTCCTGAAAACTGGAACAATACAAGGATGCCCACTCTCACCCTTCCTGTTCAATATAGTATTGGAAGTCCTGGCTAGAGCTATCAGAGAGGAGAAGGCAATCAGGGGTATCCAAATAGGAAAAGAGGAAGTCAAGTTATCTCTCTTTGCAGATGACATGATTGTGTATCTTGAAAACCCAAGAGAATCTGTCAAAAATCTCCTTATGCTGATAAAGGCCTTTTGCTAAGTCTCAGGATATAAAATAAATGTGCAAATGACAATCACATTTCTTTACACCAATAATAAACAAACAGAAACCCAAATAAAAAACACAATTCCATTCACAATAGCCACACACAAAAAATGAAATACCTTGGCTCCTTCCTAACCAGAGTTGTGAAAGACCCTTATAATGCAAACTAGAAAACACTGCTCAAAGAAATCAAAGATGACACAAACAAGTGGAAAAATATCCCATGCTCATGGATTACAAGAATCAACATTGTGAAGATGTCCATCCTACCTAAGGCAATTTAATGCAGATTTAATGCAATACCCATCAAATTACCAGCAACATTCTCTCAGACCTAGAAAAAACAATACAGGATTTCATATGGAAACAAATGACCAAGAATAGCCAGAACAATCCTTAGCAAAAAAAAAAAAAAAAAAAACAACAACAAAACAAAGTAGGCAGTATCACATTACCAGACTTCAAACTTTATTATAAAGCTACAATAATCAAAACAGCTTGGTATTGGTACAAAAACAGGCATATAGACCAATGAAATAGAATTGAGATTCCAGAAGCTAATCCTCAATTTCTCAACCAACTGATCTTTGACAAAGCTTCCACCACCTACCACTAGGGAGAGGAGAACCTATTCAGTAAATGGTGCAGGGAAACCTGGCTGACCACATGCAGAAGACTCAAACAAGACCCCTATCTGTTCCTATACACAAAAGTTAACTCTAAATGGATCAGAGACCTAAATGTAAAACCTCAAACCATAAGAACCATAGAAAATGCAGGACATACCGTTATGGAAATTGGAACTGGCATCCAATTCCTGAACAAAACCCGAAACCCACAGGCCATAAGATAAGATATACAAGTGGTACCTCATTAAACTGAAAAGCTTCTACAAAGTCAAAGAAAACATCAAGAGAGCAGGCAGACAACCCACAGACTGGGAAAAAGTATTTGCCAACTCCAGGTCCAACAAAGGATTAACATCTTGGATCTATAAGGAACTCAAACGTGCTGAAAAGAAAAAAACAAACAATCCCATTATAAAGTGGGCAAAAGATACGAACAGACACTTCTCAAAGGAAGACATCCGAGCAGCCAACAGACACATGAAGAAATGGTCAGCCTCACTAAACATCAAGGAGATGCAAATCAAAACCACACTGAGATACCACCTAACTCTAGTCGGAATGGCCATTATCAATAACTCAAAAAATAACAGTTGCTAGAGAGGGTGTGGTAAAAAGGGAACACTTCTACACTGTTGGTGGGAGTGCAAACTAGTGCAACCTCTGTGGAAAGCAGTGTGGCGATTCCTAAAAGCTCTAAATATCGACCTCCCATATGACCCTGCAATCCCCCTACTGGGAATATACCCTGAAGAATTCAAATCACTCTATCAAAAAGATACCTGCACATGAATGTTTATCGTAGCATTGTTCACAATAGCAAGAACCTGGAACCAACCATGCTGTCCATCAAAGGAGGACTGCATTAAAAAATGTGGTACATATACATGATGGAATACTATGCAGGCATAAGAAAGAACAAAATCATGAATTTCGCAGCAACCTGGATGGAAGTAGAGTCTATAATACTGAGTGATCTCTCACAGAAACAAAGATCTGAGTATCACATGTTCTCACTCATATAGTGGCCCTTGAACATCTACCATAATACTATAAAAAAAGGACTGACAGTGGTGGGATACTATGGGAACGTCGGGAGGGGAAGGGATGTGGGACTAAGGGTAGTCAATATCTGTCTGCGGATGGGGAGACACACCTTATTAACAAGGGTGCCTGAACGATGCACATTTGTATACCTAACCCTTAACTGTACCCCACAATTTTATAATAAAAAATATGTTTTAAAAAAAGAAATGGAGTTATATGATTTATTTCACAGAAAATTTTTTATTCTTTGTAAATTCTTTATTCATTATGAGCAACAATTATAATGATTTATGAGCAAAGATTCTTACCATGATAAGAGAAAGGCATGATCAAAGTGAGAACTTAAAAAGCTTCTCAACAAATTCAATAATGAAATAGAAAATGCATATTAAAAATTACCAACCAGGAATCAGGGAGTTGAAGAATGCAATATTTGAACTATAAAACTCACTAGAAAGTTCAAAAACAGTCTAGATGAAACAGAAGAAATAATAAGTCAACTCAAGGATAAGTCGTTGAAAAAACATTCAATCAGAGAAGCAAAAGACAAAAAAGAGTGAAGAAAGTTTAATTAACTTATGGGGCATCATCAAGCAGACCAAAATACACATTATAGGTGTCTTGGCAGGAGAAGAGTGAGCCAAACAAACAAACAACCAGAAAGCACACTCAAAGAAATAATGGATGAACACTTTCCAAATCTGGGAAAGAAAGTAAACATCCAGATTCAGGAAGCCTAGAGGATCTCAATAAAATAAACCTACAAGATAAATCCCACACCAAGATAAATCATAATCTAATTATCAAAGTAAAAGGCAATGAGAATGTTGCTGAAAACAACAGAAAAAAAGCCACTTGTCACATACAAAGGAACCCCTCCTCCTATATCAGCAGATTTTTCAGCAGAAACCTTGCTGGCCAGTAGGGCATGAAGTGATATAGTCAAAATGCTGAAAGAAAAAACTGCCAGCCAAGAATACTACATCTGACAAAAAACTATTCTTCAAAAATAAAGAAGAGATAAAGAACTTCCCTGGGATACAAAAGCTGAAGGAGTTCAACACTAGATCTGTTTTTACAAGAAATGAGAGTGGAAGTCCTACAGGCTGAAACGAAAGGACACTAAACAGTGACACAACAGCATGATAAAGTATAAAAATCATTGTCATAGGTAAATATATAGTCAAATATAGAGCATCTTATTATTGTAACAGTGGTGGGTAAAGCAACTTTTAATTTTAGTTCAGAAGACAAAATTATTAAAGTAACTATAATTAAAATATGTTAGAATACAAAATATGAATGTATGTACATTGTAACATCAATATCATAAAGTGTATGTGTATGGAAAAAGTAAAAGAGTAGAGTTCGTGTATGTGAGTGAAGTTAAGTTGAATCTGCTTAAAATAGACTGTTATAACTATATTTTATGTAAGCTTCATAGTAACCACACAGAAAATATCTATAGAAATTACACAAAAGAAAGAGACAAAGAAATTTAAGCATATCTACCACCACAACAAAAATCAATGAAACATAAAGGAAGACAGATGCAAAAAGGGTAGCAAAAGAACTACCAATTAGAAAACAACAAAATGGCCACAGTAATTTTTTAAAATTAATAGTTACTTTAAATGTAAATAGATTCTCTCTCTCTCTACCCCTTCCTGTCTCTTTCCCCTCTGTCTGCCTGTCTCTCTTCCCTCTGTTTCTCTCTCTCTTCCCTCTTTCTGTCTCTCTCTTCCCTTTGTCTCTTGCTTCCCTATGTCTCTCTCTCTCTCTTTCTCTCTCTTCCTTCTGTCTGACTCTCTATCTCTGTCTCTCTCTCACTGTCTAGAACAGTCAGCTGCTGCTGCAGTCGGAGGAGCCCTGGCAGTGGGGGCAGTGCCTGTGGCGCTCGGTGCCCTAGGTGTCACTGGGGCAGGAATCACTGCCTCCTCCATGTTAGCCAAGATGATGTCCCTAGCAGCCATTGCCAACCGGGGTGGAGTTGCCATGGGCAGTCTGGTGGCTACTCTGCAGTCAGTGAGTGCAGCCGTACTCTCCACATCATCCAACATGCTGCTGTGCTCCATGGATTCCACCTTTGAGGCCTGGTTGGGGAATTCAACACAGTTACCTCCTCTTCTAACTGAACCCAGGGCTGAAGGGGATCAGCCAAAAGAAAACGTACTCCAAGCTGAACCTCCAAAACCCCCACTTGGGTCAGAGAAACACGAGGAATAAAGACCATGTGCAGGCGGCAAAAAAACAAAAACAAAAAACTTTTAATGTAAATAGATTAAGTTCCCCAATAAAAAGACATAGGGTAACTAACTGGACTTAAAATCATAACAAAAAAAGTTTCATGAAAACAACAACCAAAAAAGTGCAGAGATGGTCATGTTTACATAGTATAGAATAGTCTCTAGGTCAAAAAGTGTCCCAAGAAACAAAGAAGGATATTATATAATGATAAAAGGTTAATTCACCAGGAAGATGTAATAATTAAAAATATAAATTCACTCAACATCAGTACACCTAAATATATAAAGCAAACATTGACAGAACTGAAGGAGGAAATCAACAGCAATACAATGGTAGTAGGAGACTTTAATAACTTACTTTCAATAATGAATAGATCATACAGACAGAAAGTCAATAAAGAAACAGCAGAGTATAACAACACTGTAGACCAAATTGACCTGACAGAATATGCAGAAGATTCCACTCAATATCAGCAAAATATACAAGCATACACCAAACATTCTCTAGGATAGATCACATGAGAGATCACAAAACAAATCTTAATAAATTTCAGATTAAAATCATGCTAAATATTGTGTCTGGCCAAAATGGAAAAAACTAGAAATCAATAGCATAATGAAAAATGTAAAATCCACAAGTATGTGGAAATTAGACAACACATTTTTGAACACCAATGGGTTAAAGAATGATTTAAAGAGACGTTAGGGAATAAGACAAATGAACATGAAAATACAACATACCAAAATTATAGGATGCAGCAAAAGCAGTCCTAGAAGGGAAGTTTATAATAATAAATGCCTATGTTTTTCTAGGTCACAGTCTTATTGTGTTACCCAGACTGAAGTGCAGTGGAATGATTATGGCTCACCACAGCTTGACTTCCTGGGCTCAGGTGATCCTTTTGTCTCAGCTTCCCAAGTAGCTTGGACTACAGGTGTGCATCACCATGCCTGGTTAATTTTTTAGATCTTTTTGTAGAGACAAAGTCTTGTCATGTGGCCCAGGCTGGTCTTGAACTCCTGTGCTTAAGCGATCCTCCCATGTCAGTCTCCCAAATTACAAGTGTGAGCCATCATGTTTGGCCAATAAATGCCTATCTTTTTTAAAAGAAAAAGCATATTAAATACATAACTTTACATCTTAAAAAATAGAAAAAGAAAAACTGCTCAGCCCAAAGTTAGCAGAAGGAAGGAAATAATAAAGATTTGAACAAAAACAAAAAAATAGAATACAAAAACTATTAAAAAATTCAACAAAATTAAGAAATGGTTTCCTTGAAATCATAAACTAAACTGGCAAACATTTAGCTAGACTAAATAAGAAAAAAAGAGAAAATACTCAAATTAATAATATCACAAATAAAAGAGGAGACATTGCAACTGATGCCACAGAAACAAAAAGAATTTAAGAGACTACTATGAACAATTATATGCCAACAAACTAGATTAGCTAGAAGAAATGAATAAGTTTCTACAAACAACCTACCAAGACTTACTACTAAAGAAATAAAGTCTGAACAGACATAACTAAATAGATTGAATTAGCAAGTAAATACCTTTTAACAAAAAAAAGCCCAGAACCAGATGTCTTCATTGGTGAGTTTTACCAAACATTTAAGGAAGAATTAATACTAAACCTTTTCAAATTTTTTCAAAAAATTGAAGAGTAGAGAATACTTCCAAACTCATTTTATGAGGCTAACATTACCCTGATACCACAATCAGAGAAAGCCACCATAAGAAAAGAAAACTACTGGCAAATATTACTGACCAGTGTGGATGCAAAAGTCTGATAAAATAGCAAACTGAATTCAATGGCCCATTAAAAGGATAATACACCATGACCAAGTGAGATTTATCCCTGGAACGCAAGGATACTTCAACATACTCAGGTCAATAAATGTGATACACTATGTTACCATAAAAGGAGGAATAAATATCACATGATTATCTCAATAGATGCAAAAATTTTCAAAAATTAACAACTTTTTGTGATTAAAAACTCTCAACAAACTAGGAATAGAAATCACCTCTTTTGAGAAGTTTCTATTCATATCTTTTGCCCACTTTGTAATGGGGCTATTTGTTTTTTCTTTCTGGCATGTTTGAGCTCCTTGTAGATCCTAGATGTTAGGCCTTTGGCAGATAAACAGTTGGCAAATATTTTCCCCCAGTCTGTCGGCTATATCCCCACTGTCTTGAAGGTTTCTTTGGCTTTGCAGAAGCTTGTCAGTTTGATGAGGTCCCATTTGTCTATTTTATCTCTTATAGCACAGGCACTTGGGGTTTTCTTTTTTTTTTCAGTTGGAGTCTCACTCTGTTGCCCAGGCTAGATTGCAGTGACACCCTTATGACCACCCCAGAGTCCACCTACTGGGCTCAGGTGATCCTTCTGCCTCAGCCTTCCAAGTAGCCAGAACAATAGGTGTGCACTATCACACCCAGCTAATTTTTTTATTGTATTGTAGAGGAGAAGTCTCACCAAGTTGCCCAGGCTGGTCTCAAACCCGCGGGCTCAGGCTATCTACTTGTCTTGACCTCCCAAAGTGCTGGGATCATAGGCTGAGCCACCGACCCTGGGCCACGCGGGGATAGTTGCCAGTTCCAATTTCTATAAGGGTGTCTCCTGCATTTTCTAAGGTTCTTATAGCTTGAGGTTTTACCTTTAGGTCTTTGATCCATTTAGAGTTGATTTTTGTGTATGGTGATAGGTAGGGGTCTTGTTTTAATCTTCTGCACATGGTCAACCAGTTTCCCTAGCACCATTTACTGAATAGGTTCTTCTCTCCCCAGTGGTTGGTGGTGGAGGCTTTGTTGAAGATGACTTGGTTGAAAAATTGAGATTTTGCTTCTGGAATCTCTATCTTGTTCCATTGGTCTATATTTCTGTTCTTGTACCAATACCAGGCTGTTTTGATTATTGTAGTGTTATAGTAAAGTTTAAAGTCTGGGACTGTGATACTTCCTGCTTTTTTATGCTGAGGATTGTTTTGGCTATTTGTGGTTGTTTATGTTTCCATATGAATTCCTGTATTGTTGTTTCCAGGACTGAGAAAAATGCTGCTGATAATTTAATGGGTATTGCATTAAATCTGTAGATTGCCTTGAGTGGAATGGACATCTTAACAAAGTTGATTCTTCCAATCCATGAGCATGGAATATTTTTCCACTTGTTTGTGCCACCTTTGATTTTGCTGAGCAGTGTTTTGTGGTTTTTGTTGCAAAGGTCTTTCACATGTCTGGATAGGAAGATGTCAAGGTATTTCATTTCTTTTGTGGCTATTGTGAATGAGCTTGTGCTTTTTATTTGGATTTCTGTTGTTTATTGTTGGTGTATAGAAATGTAACTCTCTTTTGCACATTTATTTTATACCCTGAAACTTTCCCAAAGTCCTTTATCAGTACAAGAAGGTTTTTGACAGATTCTTTTGGGTTTTTGAGGTACAGAATCATGTCATCTCCAAAGAGGGACAGCTTGACTTCCTCTTTTCCTATTTGGATACCTCAGATCTCCTTCTCTTATCTGATTGCTCTAGCTAAAACTTCCAAAACTATGTTGAATAGGAAGGGTGAGAGTGGGCATCCTTATCTTGTTGGCTGTGGGTTTCTCATTGATTGCTTACTATTTGAGGTATGTCCATCTATGCCTAGATGTTCCAGGGATTTTTTTTTTTTGAGTTGGAATCTCACTCCATTGCCCAGGCTGGAGCACAGTCATACACTCATGGCCATCTCTTCATCGACCTGCAGGTCTCCAGCAATCCTTCTGCCTCAGCCTTCCAAGTAGCCAGAACTACAGGTGTGTACTACCATGCCCAGCTAATTTTTTAAAATTTGTTGTAGAGAGGAGATCTCACAAAGTTGCCTGGCCTGGTCTTGAATCCATGGGCTCAGACATTGCACTCACCTCAACCTCCCAAAGTGCTGGGATTATAGGCTGAGCCACTGACCCCAGCCAGAGGGTTTTTATCAAAAGATTTTTCCACGTTTAATAAATGATCATGTGGTTTTTGTTTTTACATCTGTTGATGTATTTAGTTGTGTTTATTGTCTTGAGAATGGTGAACCAGCCCTGCATCCCAGGAATAAAGTTTACTTGGTCATGGTGGATGATTTTTGAGATGTGTTGTTGGATCCAGTTTGCTAGGATCTTGTTGAGAATTTTAGTATCTATGTTCATCAAGGATATTGGCCTGTAGTTCTCTTTTTTGTTGGACCTTTACCTGGTTTGGGTATCAGTGTGATGTTAGCTTCATAAAATGATTTGGGGAGAGTTCCATCTTTCTCAATTGCCTGGAATACTTTCAGTAGGATAGGTATCAGTTCCTCCTTATATGATTTGTATAATTCTGCTGGAAAGCCATCTAGTCCAGGGTTTTTCTGTAGGTAGTTTTCTTATGACATAGTTGATTTCATGGATTGTTGTTGGTCTATTTAGGGTCTTGATTTCCTCTTGTTTCAACCTGGGGAGGTAGTGTGATGTCAGAAAACCCTTCATTTTCTTTAGGTTTTCAAGTTTGTTTCCATATAAGTATACATTATAATCTCTGATAATCTTTTGTATTTCTTTGGGGTCAGTTGTAACTTGATCTTTTGCATTTCTGATTGTGTTTATTTGGGATTTTTCCCTCTTTTTCTTCATCAGTCTAGCTAGGAGTTCATCAATCTTGTTTATCCTTTCAAAGAATGAGCTTTTTGTTTTGATGATTTTTGGTATTATCTTTTTGTCTTCTATGTCCCAAATTTGGGCTTTTATTTTGGTGATCTGGATTCTTCTGCTGAAGCTAGGGTTTCAGTGTTCTTGCTTTTCCACCTTCCTCTGGTGATTTGTTAGACTGTTAAACAAATCTGTGATCTTTCCATTTGCTTCATGTGTGTTCATAGAGATATGAATTCCCCTCTTAGAACGGATTTCATGGCATCCCAGAAGTTTTAGTAATATGTTTCTTCTTTTTCATTTGCTTCCAGGTATCTTTTAAT